TGGCGTGGGCTGAGGGTGGCGCAAAGTGAGCAGGGATGGAGGAGAAGGGGGACGGGGCAGCACATCCCTCTCAGCGGGTGCGGGAAGGCGGGAGGGACCGCGGGATGCAGGGAGGGCCGGGAGGGGACAGGACCCCGCAGGCTGCCTCACCGCCGGCGGCCGGGCAAGCCTGGGCCCGGTTCCCGGCGGCCGTGCAAGCCTGGCCCCGTTTCCCGGCGGGGTCTTACCGCTTGGCCATCTCTTCTTTCTTGTGGTTGATGTCAGCCTCCATGTCGCACCTCGGAGGCAGTTTGTTCAGCCCTAGAGGGGAAGAGCCCGAGCGGGTTCAGGTTTCAGGCCTGCGGGCCGCAGGCTATAGCTGCGCGGGGGGGGGCGCTGTTTTGGCTCGCTTACCCTTGAAGACGCGGGTGGCCCAGCGGCACTGGAGCTCGGAGATGGGCATGATGGCGCCGAGGGGCTGGATGAGGCCGATGAAAGCCAGCGTTGGCTTCTGCAGGTCGATGGGGAACATGAATTTGTACAGGGAGATCTGGTTCTCCACCACCGTCACGCAGTCCTCGAGGAAGGGGAAGGAGAAGCTGTATCCTGTGGCGAAGACCACGGCATCGATGTCGTCTTCCTTGGTGCCGTCCTCGAAGATGGCGGCAGTTGCTGTGAACTCGCGGACGTTTGGCTTGACCTTCACCCTGCCCGAAATGATGCGGTTGGGCAGGTCATCGTTGATGGTCGGGTGCTGGTGGAGGATCCTGGAAGAGCACAGAGAAACCTTGCAAAGGGCATGGGGCAGGCATGCGGCAGCTTCTCTGGGCCATCGGGTGGTGCGTCCCAGTGCCTGGTGCAGGACCCGTGTGTCATCCCTGCGCTTACCGGTGCTGGGGCTGCAGGCCGTAGAGCGCGTGGTCGAACCGGGCATTTATCTTCCTCTCCAGGATGAAGCTCCCAACAGAGAGGGGAACGAGGCTCTGGAGGAGCTGGATGAAGCGGGTGAGGTAGGAGAAGTCGAAGGGGTAGCCGCTTTCGGCGAGGCGGTGCAGCACCCAGGCCCCGCGCCTGGTGCTGAGGAAGACCTGGGAGGGAGGAGAGGGGAGGTGGAGGTGCCAAGTGTGGCATGAGGGACAAGAGCTGTGTCCTGAGAGCCGTTTCCTTTGTGCACCCCCGTGGAGGCATGCGAATCCCCTGCGCAGCACCCGTGCAGCTGGGATCAGCTGGGAGGGGGTCAGGGTGCCGCTATGGTCCCAGTCAATGGGTGGTCCCCTAAATTATGCGCTGGCTCCAGGCTCTGTGCAGCAGCCAGAGGACAGGGCTGTGTTCTTGCTGTGCCCCTTGGACGTTGGGGTTGTTGACACAGCTGCTAGGGTGACAACGACCACCCTCTGCAAAGGGGGTGGGAGATGCTCTCAGAGGGATATGGCACAGCAGGGAGGGGAGCCTGCAGGCGATGGAGGAGGCTTGCCCCAATACCCTTTGGGATTAGGTTGCTCTCTATAAATAAACACAGCAGCGAGGGAGAATAGCCTTTTAAGCTGAAGTGCAGCATTGGCCTGAAATCAGACAGGCCTGCATGGGCCAGGAATAAATATAGTCTGGGAGCGAGATGAGGGAGAAGGAGCGTGCCTGGCCACTGGTCGGCTTTGGCAGCACAGGCACAGGGTGAAAGCCCAGCCTGGTTTTAAATGAGTCTCTCCTAGGAGATGGACAGCATCCCCGTGCGTTTGCAGCCAGCCATGCTGTGGGCACACCTGCTTTGCTGTGTGGCCCAGCTCCACAGCAATGTCGATGCCTGAATTCCCGGTGCCGACCACGATGACACACTTCTCTGAGAAGGCCTGCGGGGTCTTGTACTCCCGGCTGTGCAGGTACCAGCCCTTGAACTTTTCTAGCCCTGGGAGGGAGAGCAGAGCAGAGCTGTGCCAGGGAGGGACCACGGGGCGAGGGGGTGGCTGTCCTCCGGCTCGGGCTGGTAATGTGTTTTGGGAATGAGCCAAGCCCACTGTGACCAGCAGGAGTGATGCAGCCCTGGGACAGTGCCCAGAGAGCTGGTGGCATCTCCACCCTGGGAGATGGTCAGTGGGACATGGCCCAGTTTGTGGAGCAGGGCTGGGACCGGAGACCCATTCCCTAAATCTTTTCACAATTCAGCAGTATCTGCCTGCAGAGCAGAGCAGTTTGATCAGATGTTGAAGGCACTGTGAGAGCCTCGTGGCAGATAGACCACTGAAATGGGTGGGATTGCAGCTTGTTGCAGTGGGGATTGATGCAGGAACCCACGAGGGGCGTTTTTGGCAGCAAGCACAGTGGGGTCAGGGCTAAGCCTAAAGAGACGAGTGCTTTGAGAGGCCTTGGGAAGCAGGTAAAGGGCCCACGGGGCCGTGAGACCCGCGGTGGGCCCAGGGGAGCCAGCGCAGCGTACCTGGGAAGGTGTGCAGCGGGAGGTGCGCGTTGGTGTGGTGCCCGGTGCACACCAGCACAGCGTCGAAGACGGCCGACTCCTGCTCCCCACCGCTCTCGGTGACCACGTCCCACTGGCCGGTGACGGCAAAGTCGGGGCGCTTTGCCACGCGGCACACGCTGGTCTGGGCGCAGGGGGCAAGGAGCGGGCGTCAGGTTGCGCCCAGCCTGCCCAGGGCACCCTGCACCCCCCGGCCCCGCGGTGCTCACCCTGAAGCGGATGTATCGGAGCAGGTCGAAGTGCTGGGCGTACATGCGGAAGTACTCCATGATCTTGGAGTTGTGCATGTAGTTGGGGAAGTCGTCGGGGATGGGGAAGTCGCTGAAGCACATCATCTCCTTGGAGGTGTTGATGATGACGGACTTGTAGATGCTGGCGCGGCCCTCATCGGGGTGCTCCTGCGGGATGGGTGGGCACGCTCAGCGCCTGCTGGGACTCCCAGGGGCAAGGGACGGGGCTGCGGGGTGCTCCCTGCAGGCGCTTATCTGGCTCAGCGTATCTCTGCCTGTACCTCGCCGTGCCTGCGGGGTCTATCAGGCCCTACCTGGGAGCTGGAATAAGCTGCAGCTGTTGGGAGCTGTGACAGCAGTTGAACCAAGACAGCCCAGGAAGAGATGGAGGGGACTGGGACTAGGACAGCCTGGGTCTGGAGTGGGGACTGGAACTGGAACTGGAACAGCCTGGGAAGGGGCGGATGGGAAGGCCGAGCCAGGACAGTGAACGTTGGCCTAAGGGCTGGCCCAAGCAGTGAGTCTGTGAGGAAGGTCCTATCCCGCTGCTGCTGTAAAGGAGACCATTCCCATGTGGTCAGCACATGAGGTTGTACTGAGGGAACATCCTGCTGCCAGAGCAGTTCTTCTTTTCCATGGTGTGCCTTGGAAGCAGCAGGTGGGACCAGCCACCCCGCAAAATGGGAGAGGAAGCTCTGAACTGGTATGAGGAAATGCAGCAATGGCAAGCAAGGTGTGCTCTGCAGCATGGTGGGCAGTTCCGTGCCTCGACTTCCCCGCTCCCACTGGTGCCCTGCTTCCGTGTTTCCTTCAGGCTTTGCTATGGGGCTTGGTGGTGTCCTGGAGCGGTGGGGGTGCTCGGACCTTGATGAGGTGGCATGCTCCTTGGGCGTCCGCCATACCATCGCCCTTGCCCCAGCAGGGTTTTCAGGCTGCTGAAACAACTCTGGTGTTTCCGGCTCAGCTGC